AAAGACACGGCCCCATGTAACACACAGACTTAACAAGGTGAGGCTCCTGCGACTGGGCAAGTATTAAGAACAAATGCAGAAACAGTTGCAAGAAGAACGACTAAAGAAATACCCTGTAATTAATCAAATACCCTGTATTTATCCTCAGATGAACTGGGGTAGGGTAGGGTTGAGCGTATAGAGCATTGGAAAAAATGGGTGAGAATGTGGAGTAAGAAGGAAAATAGCCCATAAAGTACAGATTATATAGTTTGAAGTGTAAAATATCAAATATCAAATAAAATATAAACGAGAGAGTGAACGATTTTATAACCCTGCAGACATTTCTTTGTTGCATAAATGTAAGAAAAGTGAAGTTAGAAAATGCTAAGTCTGTCGAAATATCTTTGAAAACAGAATATTTTGCATTATTAGTGCATACTATTCCATCGATCCTTCCTATATCGGCTATATTATATAGTGGTGCGATGTTGATAAGATTTTGCATATGTATATGTGAGGATCATGGAACTAATGCAGTAAAGTATTTAACGACCGATCGTTCCTATGGCTGCTATATGATATAGTGATCCGATCCAGCCGGTATCTGACATGTGTACAATTTTATGAAGATAGCTTTAAAACTGAGGGTCTAGTTTGCATAGAAATCAACAGACGGACAGACAGACATGGCTATATCAACCTGGCTATTGATACTGGATCTAGAATATATATGTATGTATATACTTTATGAGGTCGGAAACTATAATAACCTCTGCAAGGGTAAAATATTAAAAATAGAGGCAAATAGATTGCCAGATAACAAAATATTATTGGAGAAATATTAAATATATATATAAAATAAAAATATATATTTAAAAAATAAATAAAAACTAAATATTTAAAATTAAAAAAAAAAATTGTAAAAGAATATGATTTCCCATTAAAATGCTGTGCCCTTTTCTTTGCTACAAACTTTTTAGAAATTCTCATTTTTTCCACATTTAGTTTTATATATGTATTTAACTTGCCTCTTTTGAAACCATAACACCCTGCACACATCGTTCTACAGGGTATACAAATGATATCCGTTAATACTTGAACCCAGCGGTCAGCTGCGTCTTGCGTGCAACAACAACAACAACAACAGCAACAACAACAACAAAAACAACAACAAGAGAAAAAGCGAACAATTTTAGACAAGTCGCCAAACAAATGCATGAAAATTAAAACGAAACAAATAAACGAAAAACTAAACAACAAAATGTACACACAAATACAGATACAGATACAGATATGTATATATATGTATGTGTGTATATATGTGTATGTATTTATATATATAAACAACAATTGCCAATCCACCAATCAACAAAATTGCAAAGTGCATTTAGCAGTGGCAACGTTTTGCACTTGAGGCAAGTGGCAGGCAGGGCGTTGCAATCACAGGGGGGGCTAAGGGGGGGACAGGTAGGGGAGGGGGGAGGTTGGGTAGGCGCTTAGACGGCGGTGACGGTGGTGACAGTGACGTGCTCGGCCCGGTTCGCTGGCTGGCAATGGACAAATGAACGCCCCTGACATCGTTCGTTGTTGTTGCAGTTGTTGTTGTTGTTGTTTCAGTTGTTGCAGTTGCTTGTTTCAGCTGCTTTAGTTGTAATGTTAATTGTCGTTAGGCGATTCGCTGGCCGGCCGGGGTAAACGCAGAAATCCTGATTTGGCCATAACAACGCACATTTGAAAAGCCGCGACACGATTTGAAATTCAAATTTTTGCCAATGCGCAGCCAAGAAAAATGCGTGCAACGAATTGTTGTTGCAGTTGTTGTTGCAGTTGTTGCTGTAGCCATGAGCCATGGCTAAAAGCACTTATGCACTGGCCAGTAGCATGGAAAATGTCAGTTAACTAATCAAAAAGCCGCACTCAACGAGGGATGGGCAAGACAAAAGGTATATAAATATGTCAAATTTGCACAGTTAAACAATTGTTGAAAAATTGTTAATTAATCAAACATTTGCCAGACGAGCAAATAAATAATGAGGCGTAAATGTTATTAGACATTTTTGTATACTGATTAGACTTTTAGCATCTCATTTTTATATTATGCATTTTATACCTAAGTTGACAATAGTTTTGTCGACCATTAATAATTAATTAACAATCAATAAATAAAATTATAAACTTTAATAGACGAATAATAACAATTATCTTGGTTAGCTTATAACTTTATGCTATATTAATAATGATTTATCATAATTATTTATACGAGTTTTTTATTATAATTGATAATTATGTAAAACAATTATAATTAATTATGTATGATTGTTAATAATTATTATTTTTATTATTATTTATATTGATTATTGATGCATTTTACAAATGATTAAAATAAGTATTCTTTTATCACTTTTTATATTAATTCTTTTTGATTATTAGCAGAAATGTTTTCTATTAATTTTGATTTATTAATAATAAATAATAGTTTTTTTTTTAATTATTTATAATTATTCTAATTGATTTTTAATAAATATTTTTTTAAGAAAAATTTTTATTTTTCCTAAGAATTTTTCAAGGATTTTTCATTTCTTAAATTAAAGGAAAGTTTGTATACTTTGGGCAAAGTAAGACGTAGTTCAATAAGAATTAGTTTATATTAAAAAAAAAACTAGTTTTAATAATCTTAGAAAGGGATCAAGAATACTTTTGGAAATTTGAACTTTCTGATATTAAAAATATATAGAAATAGAATAAAAAAAAAATACTTTCCGCATATTAATTTTAAAAAGTATATAATACAAAAAATTTGTGAATTATAATTTTCTTATATGAAAAAAAAATAGAATCTTTCAGAAATTTAAATTAAAAATAATAAAATTGCCCAAAATATAACTCTGCGTCTCCCCCATCTTATATTATATGCATTACATTTATATTTTTTATTTTCAAACATTGCTGCCAGAACCTAAAATTGTTCGCATCAGCCCCGAAACCGAAATGTTCTAATTTATGTGCGAGCAGGACCATAAAAAACAGACGCCTATTAAAAAGTGCGACGAAAATGAAAATGAAAAGAAAAGACACACCTGATCTGTAAAGAATTGCAATGGCTTTTTGGCAGCTTGGAAACTTGGCAGCTTGGCAACTTGGCAACTTGTGGCAGCGTCCAGCCCTGAAGTGAGCGGAACGCAGAAACTAACGCACTTTTCAAAATTGAAACTGCGGCTGTGTCGCCGTGTGTGGAACCCCTTGACATTAATAACGTGGCCAAGACGCAGTCAAAGCTGCAAAAGCTGATGACAGCGGGGGGGGGGGGGGAAGCAGCGGGCTGGCAGGGTGGCCGCAATAGAACCTTGGACCGCCGCCGCTGAACCCTCTCGGAGCAAAGCGCGAACAATCTTTTGCAGCCGCCGTCGTTAACCGTTTACAATGTCAACGGCTTGCTGAGAGAAGCGTCGGAGAAGCGGCGACGGCGACGGCGACGGCGACGGCGACGGCGACTGTGATTGGGCAAAGGAAAAAAGGTGGCCACTCGTCAAAGCGTATCCTTGAAATGTGCAAATTAAAGTTCAATGCTTGAGCGGCGCTTGAACCCGCAGCGACAGGACACGACCCAGCCGAAGGCAGCCAAAGTCGTCTAGCGTCTGTCAGCCAACCAAAAGCAGCCCAAAACCCACTCACCACCCACTCCGCCACCCACTCCGCCACCCACTCTGCCGCCCACTCCGCCGCCCACTCTGCCGCCCTGCCGCCTAGCCGAGCACAATGATGATTGCGCCCATTTTTATGTCTGTTTCGGGTGTTTTTTTTTTTTCTTGTTTGCCTTTTCTACGGCTCGCACGAAAATTTCAAGTTCAAGGTTGCCGGAAAGCAGCCGCCGCCCCGCATAACCCGCCCCGGCCCGCCCACAAGCACAGCCCACAGACCTGGCCATAAAACTCGTCGCCAACTTTGCCTTTGTCTGCTTTGGGCCCAGGCACGCACACAAAATGGTCGCCCCCTGCCAGCCGCCATTTTGTTTCTGTCTCTCTCACAGTCAGGCTCTCCCTCTGTTTGTGTGTGTGCACACAGGCGCGCTTCCTACGGCCGCAGTGGCAATATCCTTTTGACCTTGAGCGCACAATTTCCACACGCAAAATTTATTGACCTGCCGCTATGCGCTATCTCGCTCGCTCTCTCCAGCTCTGCCGCAGCCTGTCTCTGTCTGGCGCGTGTAAAGGAAACATAAAAAACCCGAAAATATAACAACAAAAACAACATACGACGCGTCGCCCAGCCGCTGCCCGCGCCCAGCCCCGCTCAGCTCTGTCTGGCTGGGGTCCCTTTTTAGAAAAGGAAGTAGGTGCCCGCAGAGTCAACCTTGGCGACAATGGGCGTGCCGGGGCGGCTGTTGCTATGCGTGTGCCTGCTCCATGTGTGTGTGTGTGTGTGTGTGTGCGTTTGTGTGCGTAACAGTAAATAACTGCGAGGCAGACGTTGTTCAAACTTGCTGCATTAATTATTATTTGTTGTTCACAGGCTGGGCACATTAAATTAAATCTCAAAATTAAATAAAAACATTTTTTAAACTTTATCATTGTATACGTAACGTAAACGATATGCGCCAAGTCTCCCGCTCGTTACGATAAACCCCATACGGTATACTATACGCTTAGCAGAGTTTAGCTCCCACTGCGTATACTACAACCACGGCTAGCACGTACAACAACCACTAGGCTAAACTTGGCTTAGCTCAGACACACACACAATACAAGCAGCTGCAGCTAGCAAGAACAACAACCGCTGCGTAAATTGGCTAAGCTAAGACACGCACACCAAAATAGCTGCAAGCGGCACAGTTGCCGCCAAACTGTTAAGCACAAAGCTTTAGCCGCCGCCAACTTCAAGTGCGTCAAAGCTACGCGCAGCCAACATCACGTGACTGCGCGCCAAGTGCAGCCAACTTCACGTGTGCGCAAATGGCGCGCAGTTGAATTTCGAATATCAAAAGTGCATAAATAGAATTGTGCATAAATAAAATGACTTACCATCTAGTTTGTCCAGCCGCTTGTCAATATTTAAGCACTTCGACATTAGCTTTTCCACCAGCAACGGATTCGCCGAGGCGCTGGTCACAGTCACAAAGCGCGACTCCTCCGGCGTGCACTCGCCGTTCCCATTCCCGTTCCCGTTGCTGTTGTTGTTGTTGTTATTGTTGAGCAGATCACAGGGCAGCAGAAAACCTAAACGAAAGCCAAACAAAATATAAATTTGCATAGATTTATTTGCTTTGCATTTGACAAAACTCACCATTTCGCTTGGCCGCCGTTGCCGTTGCCGAACTGGAGCCAAAGGCAAGCAGCGCCTGACCATGCCCATTGCCGGAGCCGCTGTCCGCCAGGCTGGCGCCCACCGAGTCCACCAAGCCCTGCACGCTCAGCTGGACATTGTCCTTCGCCAGAAGGTCGTCGCCGGCGACGACGGCGGCTGCGACGCTGGCGAAATCGTTGTCGCTGATGACGTTGTTGTTGTTGTTCTCCTCCTAGGAAATAGATAGCATAGAAGAAGAAGGCAGAAAAAGAACAGCAGAGAATTGTGTTGTTTGTTGTTGTTGTTTTTGGGGAAGAAAAGAGCAAAAGGAAATAAAAAACATAAATGGTAAAATGCTTCAATGCGAGTTTCAGTTAAAAAGAGATAAAAGCAAAAAAGGTCCTGCGCAAGAAATTCAAGTGTGTTTGTGTGTGATTATGTGTGTGTGAGTGTGTGAGTGCGTGTGTATGTGTGTATGTGTGTAGTTCAACTTGTCTGTGTGCTTGGCGGATGTACATTTTCGACTTTGACCTCAACGGTCGCCAAATCGGACAGCAGGCTCTCGATCTCAAAGTTGCTCTCGGAGAGCGTCCGAAACAGCTCGTCGGAGGAGTCGCTGCCACAAAGCGGCTCCACCACCACATTCACATTCCGCGCCGCCGACCCGCACAAGTCCGCCGACTGCTGCTGCTGCTGCTGCTGATGTTGTTGTAGTTGTTGCTGATGTTGTTGTTGTTGCTGCTGCTGATGTTGCTGTAGTTGCTGCTGCTGCAGTTGCTGCTGTTGTTGTTGTTGCTGTTGCAATGTGTTGTTAGCGCCAACTGTGGGATTAATATTCTCAGCGTTCACCGTGGAATCATCCTGCAGGCAGAGACAGAGAGGGAGGGAGAAAGAGAGAGAGAGGGAGAAAGAGAAAGATAGAGAGAGAGAGAGCTTTTATTATTCGTTTTTATTTGTTTGAAACAGTGTTGTCAACTACAAGAAAGTTGCTGAATCAGCCTTCTAATCGGAAATTCGTTTAGGATAGTGTTGACAACTGCAGAAAAAATTGCTGAGTTCAATGTAAAAAGTAGCTGAATTAGCTTTCTAAGCAAAAATAGTCAAAATATCAAATTAAAATGTTAGCTATTTCCCTGATATTTGGTTAAGACACAATGCTGCCAACTATAAAACACTTGCTGAATTCAATGTAAAATGTAGCTGAATTAGCTTTCTAATCAGAAATAACCGAAAATTCGAACTATTTCCTAGATATTTGCTTAAAAAAAGTGCTTTATTCAATAAAAAAAAAAAAAATAGTTGCTGAATTACCTCTCTAATCAAAAGTAGCTAAAATAATGAGCTTAATTATCTACAATTTTCAACTATTTCCTTGATATTTGCCTTGGAAAGCCTTGTTGCTAACTACAGAAAAAGTTGCTGAATTCAATGTAAAATGTAGCTGAATTAGCTTTATGAGGGGAAATACCCGTCAAAAAGCTAAACCCGTCAAAAATCTCAACTGTTGCTCGGCTAACAATCTCCGGCTCTAGCCAAATGTGGCTTATAAATAGCTGAATTGTATAGCAGCGAGACGCACCGTTATGCAGTTTGCCAAGTCTAGACCGCCAACAAGACGACCATCGTTATCCGGACACCAGAGCAGTGCGTCATCGATAAAGGGCATCGCTGATAGGGCAAAGCCTGCACTGCAAATACCGTTAACTGCCAGCGTAAAGCCGTTTCCTTTTTGCCGCTTCACTTGAAAATGTCCTTTAACCCGTCGGTTAACTTCTCTCTCTCTCTCTCTCTCTCTCTGTCTCTCCTTTTTCTTTGTATTTGTTGTAAACTTTGACTTATCACACGTTGTCTAATTATTCACTTTTTATTTGTTCTTTCACGAATTTTCTTGTATACAAATTTTTAGGCACTTTTTTTTAAGACGGTTTTGGTTTGGTTTCCGTTTTGTATTACTTTTATTCTTTTTTTTTTTTTAATTTATTTGTTTGCATTTAATTTCTTGTAGTCTTTTGTTTGTTTTGGACGTTTTTTGTCGTGGAACACCAAAAAAATGTATTAAAAAATAAGAACACTCCAAAATTCGATTATGTACTAAGTGTATATCGTATATACTACGTTTATCAGCTATTTATATTATTATTGTTATTTTGGCTTAAATTTGTTAAGTTTTTCGTTTTGTTTTTTTTTTTTTTTTTTGGATTTTCCCGTTGCAGCTGTTAAGTGCTAAAAGTCTGAAATGAGAAGAAAATATAGTTGAATATTATTCAATTTTAATCTGAATGTTTATTTTAGTTAATAAATTGAACAAATTTAGATAGTCTCCAGATGAAAATGGGCTAATGTGCTTGTGTGTGTGACAGGCAGAAGGAAGCATCTCTATCAGAATGACTAGGAGAGACTATATAGGAGATGCTATCTAAATGAACTTCGCTCAATCGATCTGAGACTTCAAATACGATTTATATATATTTTCGTGGGACATTATTTGTCCATAACTCCTTTTTATTGTATAAAATAGATAAATATCGATTTTGAGACATATTTTCTTCAGAAAAAAGTTATAAATATTGTGTCTAAATTCATTTAGATCCCAAGCTATAAATTTATAATGAGTATATCGACCATATAAGAATCTTCCCTTCGATCGATCGTGCCAATGGCAGCTATATGATAAAGATAAATGTTGATAAGATTTGGCTGATGTGTACAGCGCATTAACAAGCTAATCAATGTCGGGTTTGTTCACAGATAACTTGATAAACAATAAAGCTTTCCAAGCATATTCCACATTATTTGTCTAAATCTATCTATATAAATATCGATTTTGGAACATGTTTTCTTAGGCTTAACTCGAGAATTATAAGAGCTACATATATCAAATTTTGTATATAGCTACTTGTATAGACTACACAGCTCAAGAATATGTCACTTTTAAGCTAACTAACCAGAATGCACCGGAAAGAGAATAACAAGCTTACATTAAAGCTAAAGCTTTGAGCTTTGGTATGCACACAAAATTGTTTGGCTTATTTGAGCACCACAAATTTCATACAGATCGGATCAAAGGCAGCCGAGTTAATCCAAGATCCATTTGCCATACAAAGTGTGGATCTGAGGTAAGAAGAAGAAAGCACAGTCACAGAAAAAGAAAGCTGGAATTCTAACAGCAGCTGGACGCGTGGCTTGGTTCAACTTCTCGACTAATCTGGGCATTCCTTTTTTTTCTCAGATAACATTCAGAGCTCTCAACTCTGCAGATAATTAGCCCAAGTTGCTTTTCCGCGTCAATTAATGACAATTATTGGACTCAAAACCTGCAACTGGCAGGCTTTTGGCTTTAGCTCAGCTTCAGCTGTGGATGAGCTAAAAAGTTGATGGAAAGTCGTCGCATTTCATTGTTGATATTTCTGATGGTATTTTCTTTTTTTGTAACTTTTTGTTTAGCTTCCGGTTAGGCTTTTGTATCAAAGTTAATTTCGTTTAAAGTTCAATAACATTTCAAATTGCGAATTACGAATGAAGACGACAACAACAACAACAACAACAGCAAGAGGAGCCCTGCAGGAGGGAGGGGGGGGGGGGCGGGGCAATGTGCAACAGCTGCAAAGAAAAGCGCTAAAAAGAAAAACAAAGAGTTGCAACAAATTTGTGCAAGCAAAAAAAAAAAACAACGAAAACAAGCCGCAAAAAACAACTTTGGCAAAAATGCTTTTTACATAACATGTTATTGAACTGCAGGCAAAGCAACAAACTTGTTGTTGTTGCAGTTGCAGTTGCAGTTGTTGTTGTTGCTGCTGCTGCTGCATTTCGCTCTCTCTAAGCTGCCAAAACCAATGCAAGTGAAAGTCTAACAGCAACAACAACAACAGAAACAGCAACAACAACAGCTGCCAGGTTTGAGTTCGTTAACATTGAACTACGAAACGGTTGCTGCAAGCTTCAAAGCGCAGCAACAACAACAGCGAGAGTGAGAGGGAGAGAGTGTGAGAGAGAGTGGAAGAGAGAGAGAGAGAGAGAGCGTACATTGCACAGCAACAACAACAATAATTGACATTACAACATTGCGCTGCCTGGCACTGCTGCTGCTGCTGCTGCTGCTGCTGACTGCGCTGCCCGCGTCGCTGTTGGCTGCGCCTGCGCTGGTTTTTCCATTGCATGCCAGTTTGCAATTGCTGTGGCTGCTGCTGTTGCTGCTGCTGTTGTTGTTGTTGTTGTTGTTGTTTGGTGATGCGCAAGCGGCGCGGAAAACTCGTTTTCCATTATTCAATACAAGCAACAGCAGCAGCAGCAGCTGGCGCAGCGGCTATTCACTTTTCTGCTGCAAGTTCACAGAAGAAAACTTGAAAGAAAAGCGAGCGAGAAGAACAACAACAAGCGCGCACAAGGCTTTCGTTTGAAAATTGTTTTTGTTGCTGCTGCCTGGCGCCAATCTGCTGCTGCTGCTGCTGCTGTCTAATGCACATTGATTACAAGATGTCGGCGCTTATGCAAAATATTGGCTTTGCCTTCGCCTTCGCCTTGCCTCTAATAACAGTGCCACGTTGCGTATACGCAATCTTTGATTAGACAGCAGCAGCAGCCACAGAGAGAGAGAACTGCATTTGCTTAGCCAAAAGCAGAGCACATATTGCTTGGAGCTTGGAGCACTTCCTGGTGCTGCTGCTGGCTCCACGTAATATTCTCCAAATGGGCGTGGCACCAAATGGGGGGCGGGGACGGAGGGCGCACTTTTGTCAATTAGGAAGACAGGCTGAAGAGCAGAAGAGCGCAAAGGCAAGTAAAAGTGCTCGAAATGGGAGTGTGATCCGGTTGCAAATATATATGTATACATATATCATATCAATATATATTATCTATTATTATTATATATGATTTATTATTTCTATGAAGATAATGCTCGACACGAGCTTCAATTTTCGAAAGTCAAATGTTTATCCTAAAAGTAAGTCTATGGAATTATATATTAGAGAAAATATCGCCATGGAAAATCTTGTAAATACTGTGGCCAAATTCATCTAGAGCTCAAACCATAAATAAAATAATTATTTGAAATTAAAAAAAGTATTCAACTATTGACATAATTGTGGCACTTGGAAGTTTGGCAAGTGTATTTTAGGTGCATTCAGCAATTAGTTAAAGCTAAAATATCAAAACTTTAAATCAAATTAATAAATCAAAAAATAATATAACATATGGGTTTGTTAACAAACAAAAGTCAGACAAATGCATAAAATTAATGTTCTAATTTAAGCTGGAGGAATATTCCTCCAACCCTTCAAATCGGTTCTGATAAAGTTATAGAAACTTGAAGCATAGCTGAGGATTTAGGGGAATTACAAGTCGAAATTTTAATCAATGTTTGATTGATTTTTGACAGAGTCATGGAAATTTTAAAGCCCAGATAAGGATATTGGGTTCAATATTCGCTTGATTTTGGACAGAAAATTGAAGCACCTCAGCGAGATATTCGAAATACCAAAAATTTAACGCTTACAAGGAGACATCTCCGACACCATAGAGTATATATATATATAGCCGAGTCGATCTACTCATATCCGACTGTCTGTCTGTCTGTCTATCTGTCTGTTTGTCGGGCCGTCCTCATCTATGGACGCAAGGCTCTTGGAGATGCAATCTTCTGCCATACATACATACATTTTCACAAAAATACCCTTTATACCCTTTTTGCACATTTTCAATAGATTCAGGGAACAAAAAACAGTTATATCTCATGGAAATGTGTTGAGCTGTGCAAAATGTTGTGCGAGTTTTGAAAATAAGTAATAAATAATACAAGTTAACTCACCTCTGATATTTTATATATTATATATTTATATATTTGTATATTTATATATATGTATATTTATATATATATGTATGTGGTATGCGGCTATCCTGAACGTGTTGTAAAATATCGTTGCACGTTTTTATCCACTTGTCACTAATATATATGTATATATATGTTTGTATATATATATGGTGTATATATATATTTGTAGCTGTAAAGTTGCGCTAGATACTAATTTGTATAAACTAGAAGGCAGTGTAAAGTTGTCCAAAAATGTTTGATTGTTAATTTGCGTAGCTTGTTGAAGTTGTTGTTAGTTTAAATTTGTTGCACGCGCGTGTTGCACTTGTTGCAATTGTTGTTGATGTTGCCTCGAACGCGCCGTAGAAGAAGAAGAGGGAGCAGGGAGCACAGGAAGCGTTGCTGTTTTTGCTGCTGTTTTATTTTACAACGTATGCTATAGATGTACAAATATAAAGTTTTATTGTCATTAGCAACATGGCTGACATTGACCAAATTTGCATGTGTTCCCAGTTTTCCGCTTGGGGCACGCATTTATGGTGTTTGCACGAGCTGTGTGGCATTTAGGCGGGCCACGAGGCCGTCGTCCAGCCGTCTGGCAGACCAATGCGAATGCCTTTCCCCGCTCTCTCCCTCTCGCTCTCACTCTCGCTCACTCTCGCTCTCTCTCTTTCTGTCTCTGTCTATCTGTGATTGCTGTGCGGCGGCCTCTGCAACAAAAAGAATTGTCAAAGAAATTGATAGTCAGTTAATAGTTATGATTAAAACTTGTATATGGCTGCATATTTTATACACTTAAGTTATGCGAATTTCACAAAAGCGAGGCATTGCGAACAGGTTGAACAAAACTCGTGACAAGCATATATCTGACGTACACAGAAATAAATACTTATGTATATGCGCACATGTGTGCTTTACTTGAGCCAGGGATATTCCACTTATACAGCGAAAGGAACATTTTCGTGAGTTACAATTTCCCTTATACAAAATTTCATATATATATCTCTTATATTGCGAAACGGACCTTATGATGTACACACAGATAGATAAATAAAAGTATGCGCATATGTGTGCTTTGCTTGATCTAGGGATATAACAATTTCCCTTATAGACAATTTCACCTATATTTCAGTTATATGGCAAAAGGGATGCACAGAAATAGATATATAAATATGGAGCAAGCGATATTCCATTCATTCAGCAAAAGGGATATATTCATAAGGTACAATTTCTCATATGCACAATTTCATATATATTCTCCATTCAAGTAAAAGTATATATGCATAATTTCCCAAATATTTCCCTCGTATTTTCGAAAG